GGAGAGACTGGGCGCGCACCTGGGGCGTGAGGAAGAAACCGAAGAGCTTGCCAGTGACGAGGGCAAGCTCAGTCGAGTGGGGCCCGATGACGGCCAGCACGCGGGGCTGGTACTGCGCGTAGTTGCAGTAGGCGGCGATGTCGCAGCTGCCCACTCTGGCCATGAACACCAGGCTGGGCTTCATGGCGACCACGGGCTCTGAGCATGTGTCGAAGATGTCGTAGCCCAGGCGCAGCCCCGGCAGCAGGGTGGACCCTCTGTTGATCTCTTCCACGGCCATCTTCATGGCCAGTGCCCAGAGTAGGCCGAGAGACGAGAACCTGGGGACACACAGGGCTGCAGGTGGCAACGCCTCACCCCTGCTGGGAGCACCCCTGCCCGCCACCCCTAGCCTCCCTACCTGGTGCACACCGTGGTGTTGGGCTGTGTCCTGTTGCTGAGACCCACGTCCTCAGCTGATCCCAGGGGGAAGAGCCCGCCCAGCACGTAGTCCCCCTGCATCCTGAGCTGCCTGGACAGGCACAGCGGTGCCCCGGCCCCAAGGCCCAGCAGAGCGGAGAGGCCCAGGAGAGCCAGGCCTGACATGGCAGGTGGCAGCTTCTGGCAGGGATGGCAAGTAGATGAGCTGGGTGGGGCCCAGATATGGTGAGTCGGGGCTGGGAGGGGTGGAGATTTGTTTAGCAAAAGACCTAACCTCACCTGCCAAGCCCAGGGGCCCCTGGAGAATCTACACTTCCCTTGGCCCAAGGTGTCCACACATTGGACTCTGTTATCCTGATGCCACTAGGCTCTCTGGCTGCCAGTGACCTGGGTAGGCAGGCTTTGAGCAGCCACTGACCACAACCTTGTTACCTGCTTCTGCCCAAGCCCCTCGGCACCTACCCCATTCCCGGGGAGTAGGCACAGGAACATCTCTCCAGCCCTGGGGAGGAACCATCTGCAGTCAGGAGGGGACTGCAAGGGTGACTCCATCTGCAGGTCCAGGGGCAGCCTTGGCAGGGTCCCACAGGCCTGCCCACCAGCCAGGACAGTGGCCCACCGGCCTGCCTGGCTTCCACCCTGCTGCTGGGGTGGGGACAGTCCTGGGGTGGGGGTTGTGGCGTCTCAGCCTGCCTGGGAATAGGGCACTTTGGGGGGCTGGGTGGTTCCTTGGCCAGGGGCCTGAGGTCTGGAAGCTTTGGGAGCTCTGTGGCTGTCTGTGTCCCCCTGGGTCTGGGCATGACACAGCAGATCCCTCCCTATGGGGACAGGGCTCTCAGGGGGGCCTGCATGCAAAGGAGGAAGAAAAAGCTGCAACCAAATGGGCCACAGCAGCTGGGTCAGCACCAGGTGTGCAGCAGGCAGGTGGCAGTGCCTGGGGACCTGTGTTCCCTTGCTTGGGGGCCTCACTGACATCATGCTTGGGGGTGGAGGTGCACCCAGAGGAGCTGGGGGAGGCTGGCAACGCCCCTGGGGTTGGGACTCTAGGAGTCTCAACCCTGGCTGGGCCTGGCAGACATTTACAGGTGGTGATCTGGGGACCAGTGTTTGCCCATCTCCACATTGCTTAGCACACTCAGTACATGCACATGCACGTGTACTACAAATGGGGCACAACACCCACAGTGAGTACGTTGCACCTGCACAGCCATGACACACACAAAACACACGTGATACACACACAGTGCACCTCACCTGCATGACACAGTACATGCACGCAGTGCACCTGCATACTTGTGCTCACACGTGTACAGCCTTCACTCTCTGGCCCATCTGGACCCCAGGTTATCCTTCCAGGCAAATCCTTCATTGTCACCGGTCTTTGTTGGCACCACACAGGGCTCTGGGCTGTTTGGAGTGGGGCAGAGCTGGATAGGGTACAGCGGTGGCAGCCTGGCTTTGGCTCTCACACTAGGGGTGGAATGTTCAAGGGGACCCTTCCTGACACTGTGTGGCCCAGAGCAGCTCCCGCTCCACTGGCTTAGCTGGGCAAGGCTTTCTTCTTCCTGCAGGGGGTGCAGCTGGCCCAGGTCTGCCCTTCCAACCCAGCCCCTGGGGCCATTCTGCGTCTGTCTTCTCACCAATAACATGATAATCCCGTGGACCTTGGCAGGGGTGGGGTCAGTGTCCAAGCTAAACCCTGCACAGGGCAGCCAGACAGCAACCCCCCATGGTGGATGGGGCGTGACACACGTGGTGGACACTACCCTGCCATCCTGACAGTGGGGCCTCAGCCCCTTCCCCCTTGGTAAGCAGATGCCTGGCTCACNTCAGGGGGGCCTGCATGCAAAGGAGGAAGAAAAAGCTGCAACCAAATGGGCCACAGCAGCTGGGTCAGCACCAGGTGTGCAGCAGGCAGGTGGCAGTGCCTGGGGACCTGTGTTCCCTTGCTTGGGGGCCTCACTGACATCATGCTTGGGGGTGGAGGTGCACCCAGAGGAGCTGGGGGAGGCTGGCAACGCCCCTGGGGTTGGGACTCTAGGAGTCTCAACCCTGGCTGGGCCTGGCAGACATTTACAGGTGGTGATCTGGGGACCAGTGTTTGCCCATCTCCACATTGCTTAGCACACTCAGTACATGCACATGCACGTGTACTACAAATGGGGCACAACACCCACAGTGAGTACGTTGCACCTGCACAGCCATGACACACACAAAACACACGTGATACACACACAGTGCACCTCACCTGCATGACACAGTACATGCACGCAGTGCACCTGCATACTTGTGCTCACACGTGTACAGCCTTCACTCTCTGGCCCATCTGGACCCCAGGTTATCCTTCCAGGCAAATCCTTCATTGTCACCGGTCTTTGTTGGCACCACACAGGGCTCTGGGCTGTTTGGAGTGGGGCAGAGCTGGATAGGGTACAGCGGTGGCAGCCTGGCTTTGGCTCTCACACTAGGGGTGGAATGTTCAAGGGGACCCTTCCTGACACTGTGTGGCCCAGAGCAGCTCCCGCTCCACTGGCTTAGCTGGGCAAGGCTTTCTTCTTCCTGCAGGGGGTGCAGCTGGCCCAGGTCTGCCCTTCCAACCCAGCCCCTGGGGCCATTCTGCGTCTGTCTTCTCACCAATAACATGATAATCCCGTGGACCTTGGCAGGGGTGGGGTCAGTGTCCAAGCTAAACCCTGCACAGGGCAGCCAGACAGCAACCCCCCATGGTGGATGGGGCGTGACACACGTGGTGGACACTACCCTGCCATCCTGACAGTGGGGCCTCAGCCCCTTCCCCCTTGGTAAGCAGATGCCTGGCTCACTCCATACTCCCATCCAGGAGCCCAGAACATACTTGTGACATTGTCATTTATTTCTGCTGGAAAACCATCACCCGTATGTATCACAGTTTCCAAGGGTCCCCACTGCGTGCAGACCTTTGGCACCTGATGTCCTGAGGTTCCAGTGAAGAGCCATGGGCAGGCAAGGCTGGGTCTACCAGCCTGTTAGGGAACGGGATCCAGGCCCCGGCCTGTGCTGTGCATCCTGGGTCTCCTGAGCTCCATGGGGATGGGCAGCAAGGGGCAGGGGAGAGGGAATGCAGCATCTTGCTGGGAGCCGGGGAGGGAGAGGCCAGCTGGCCCAGCAGTCATGGGTTCCCGGGGGGCTCTGAGGCTGTGCTGTGCAGACTCACAAGCAGCTGCCTTGGGGAGCACATTGTGGCTGCAGGAGGCTGCTGATGTGCGGGGCTACAGAGGCAGGGTGGGACTGTGCTTGGGGCTCCACGTCCCTGCTGTCATGCTGACGACATGTGGGCCCCTGGCCAACAAGGCAACGAGGGGCAAGGAACCAGATGCAGTGCCAACAGCTGCCCAGGTTCCCTCCTTGCTCTGGGGATAGCCAGCCTGGTAAGGAGAGTCCATAGGGAGCCCACCTGGCCACAGATACTGGGTCCTGGGCCTGGAACCCAACAGACGCGAGAAGCACACACACCACCAGCTGGATACGTCGGCTGGTAAGGAGTCTGCTCTCCAGAGACCCGTGACTCACCCGTTTTGCAGACTCGACCCATGGGTGAGCGCAGCCTCTCAGGCTTCTGCATGGACTCTGATCTTGCCCCCACCCTCCCTGTGTTCTGCATTTTACCCACCTGGCCGGCGCCTGCCTTCTCTGTCTGCAGCCTGGGTGGGCCACACTAGGCCTATGGCTCCCCACAAGCTCAGCTCGCAGGGGGATAGTGGCTTTTCTGCTCCTGGGGCACCCAGAAAGTTCCGTGGTAGGACTGATGGGCCCTGGCTGCCCCAGCCCAACTCCAGAGAAGGGAAAGCCCTCCCAGCCTGGGCCTGCTGGCCCCTAGGGCAGGTCCAGCAGGGTGTGGTCAGCATAGAGCTTCTGGGAGACATTGTATACGTGCTCGATGTAGGGCAGGGCCTCGCCCAGCATCTCCACAGCCTCCTCAGCGGACCCCACGTTCATGGTCTCCAGGAAGACCTTGCGTGTGGGCAGCGTGCAGAAGGCCACGGTGGCGGCCCGGCGGATGATCCAGGGGTGGTAGGCAGCTAGTGAGGCGTTGTAGGAGTCGGTGCAGAGCATGGCCGTGCTCGCATCCTCAGGGCTGGTGCGCAGGCCCTCCAGGAAGAGCTGCAGCCAGCGCAGTGCCCGATGCAGCCGCAGCACCGTCCGGCAGCCCGAATCTGGGTGACGGGAGCGGCGATCCAGGTCCACCAGCTGGTTGCCCACCTCATAGGCCACCATGGACTGCAGGCTGCTGTAGTGGTGCTGCTGGGGGCCACTGCACAGGCCCTCCATGATCTGCAGCTTCGCCACCAAGTCCTTGGAGATGAAGGAGAAAAGGGAGCCCAGGCTGTTCAGGAACCTGTGAGGGGAGGCAAGGGCTGAGCCGGGGGTGTAGCGGTGCCCACTGCCCGGGGTGTGTGGCTGGGGAAGGCCTGCCTTGGCAGTGGCCCCTCAACGCACCTGACCAGGCCCCTCCAGCCAGCGAGGTAGTGCTCCAGCAGCACATCTTCCTTCAGGAGACACTGCTTGAAACTGACCAGGACGGTTCTCAGATTGAAGTCAGACTGCAAGTCGACCATTTTCAATAGGGCTGGGGGTTGTCTCACTGGGAGTTGGTTCACTCCTCTGGGGGGTGGGCAGGAGAGTAGGAAAGAAACAGCTCGGGTCCCATTGCGCCCCAGGAGCCGACCTCACTCTGCTTGGGCAGCACTCTGACACCCGCCCGACCCTACCATGCCCCTTCCCAGAACAGGTGCCCACAGACCTCAGCATGGCCCCTCCCTGTCACTTAGGCACACATCTCTACAGCCAAGTTCTCTTGCTTGTTTCGGTTTTGTTTGTCTTTCTCACCAGAACACCTGTTTTCAAGACTTGGAGAAATACGTGCTGAGTCCCCACCCGGAGCCAGGCACTTGAGTGCTTGGAGACAGAGATCAACAGCCCAGCCTCATCGAGGCAACATTCTAATGGGGGGCGGGGTGAGACAATGACAAAGACAGGAAGTTCCAACAGGGTAGGTAAAAGTGGGTCAGCACCATGTAGAGAGACAGGGCAGTGAGGTGGGATGGCTGGGGAGGGGGCTGGGCGGCCGGTGCCAGTGAACACCCCGGCCCCTGCCTGCCTGGGTGCCCAGGGCTGGCACTGAAGCGTGGCTCTTATTGGGCCCTGCGGTCTCAGCTGCATCTCACCTAATGTCCAGGACAAGCTCCCATCCCACTGGGCCTGGGGGGTCCTGTGCCTTTGGTGCTGGGTGCCTTGTGGGGACCCGGCAAGGGGGGGAGGCCACCCGAGCCGTGCCCCAGCCAGGCACCGGGCCTCCGGGGGCCTGCGCAGGCCCTGCCCTGCCTCCCGCTCTGAGGGCAGGTCCCTCACCATCCTGAGACTCGGTCCATCATCTCCGGGGAAAACAGGCCAGCGCGCCCGGCCCTGTCCACCACCCAGGCCGCGGACCGGCTGGCTGTGCCCAGCGGGTGCCGGCCCCGAGGGCTGGGCCGAGTGCCTGGCGTCGGGCAGAGCGCTCAGAGGTGAGCTCACCCCGTCTTCAGGCGGGGGCGCC